TGATGGCACACATAAACATATGTCATGAAATACAGGCAGTTGTCACTTTGGAGCTCTAGTACATGCAGGAAACGTTGGAAAGAAATCATTCAGAGGCTTTTCAGGACAATAGGACGTTGAGTGTTTCAGTTATCACACTGGGCTGTCAAAAGGGTTTTCACAGAAAGGCTGAGCTGGGTATCTTCTCTCCCTTACAGCAGACCTACAACTCAACTGAACTACAAACAATATCCAAAACAAAAACTAACTTCTGACTGTCATAGACACAAACATGAGATTTCCAGTAAATAACTCAAATTCACTTAAGCAATATGGCTTTTAATTTATTGGGACATGGGCATCACTGGCTGGACAGCATTTATTGCCCGTCTCTAGTTACCCTTGAGAAGGTAGTGGTGAACTTCTTCTTGAATGATTACAGTCCACATGCTGTAGGTTGATTGAAAATGCCCTTTGGGAGGGATTTCCAGGATTTTAACCCAGCACATTGAAAGCATGGCAATATATTTCCAAGTCAGGGTGGTAAGTGACTCAGAGAGGAATTTGCAGGTGGTGGTGTTCCCATGTATCTGCTGCCCTTGTCCTTCAAAATAGAACTGGTTGTGGGTTTGGAAGGTGCTAAGGATCTTTGGTGAATTTCTGCGGTGCATCTTGTAGATAGTACACACTGCTGCTACTGAGCGTCAGTGGTGGAGGAAGTGGATGTTTGTGGATGCAGTGTCAATCAAACGGGCTGCTTTGTCCTGGATGGCTTCTTGAGTGCTTTTGAAGCTGTGCCCATCAGGCAAATGGGGAGCATTCCATCACACTCTTGACTTCTGCCTCGTAGATGGTGGACAGGCTTTGAGGATTCAGGAAGTGAGTTACTCACCACAGTATTCCTAACCTCTGTTGTACTCTCATAGCCACTGAGTTTATATGGTGAGTCCAACTGAGTTTCTGGTCAATGGTAACTCCTAGGATGTTGAAAGTAGGGTTTTCAGTGATGGTAATGCCATTGAACATCAAGGGGCAGTGCTTAGGTTGTCTCTGATTGGAGATGGTCATAGCCTGGCATTTGCGCGGTGCAGAAGTTACTTGCCACTTGTCAGCCCAAGCCTGGATATTATCCAGGTCTCACTGCATTTGAACATGTATCTGAGGAGTCACAAATGGTGCTGAACATGGTACAATCATTAGTGAACATCCTTACTTCTAACCTCATGATGGAAGGAAAGACATTGATGAAGCAACTGAAGATGGTTGGGCTTAGGACACTACCCTGAGGAACTCCTGCAGAGATGTCCTGGAGCTGAGATAACTGACGTCCAACGACCACAAATATCTTCCTATGTACCAGGTGTGACTGCAACCACCGGAGAATTTGCCCCATGATACCCATTGATTCCAGTTTTGCTAGGGCTCCTTGATGCCACACTCAGTCGAATGCAGCCTTGATGTCAAGGGCTGTCACTCTCACCTCACCACTGGAATTGAGCTCTTTTGTCCTTGTTTGAACCAAGGCTGTAATGAGGTCAGGAGCTGAGTGGACCTGGCAGAACCCAAACCAGGCGTCACTGAGCAGGTTATTGCTGAGCAACTGCTGCTTGATAGCACTGTTGATGACACCTTCATCACTTTACTAACGATCGAGAATAGACTGATGGGGTGGGAATTGGCCGGTTTGGATTTGTCCTGTGTTTTATGTACAGGACAAACCTGGGCGATTTTCCACATTTGTTGGGTGGATGCTAGTGCTGTAAGTGTACTAGAAGAACTAGGCTAGGGAAGCAGCAAGTTCTGCGGCACAAGTCTTCAGTATTATTGCCAGAATATTGTCAGGGCCTTTGCACTATCCAGTGCCTTCAACCATTTTGGTTGGAGACCAAAAAAGGCAGTGCAAGAAGTGTCTCTTAAAAGATGTCCCAAACTGTCTTTTTAGTGATTCCTTTAAGATAAAAACAACCAAACTTCTCTTCAGTATCTTCAAATGAAACATTGTCCACAATCCTTTAAATATAAATCATTAAATAAATTAATAATGGAGTGTCTTCATGACATGATCAACTGATCCTTTTTTATCCACTGATAAAAAAAGTCACTGAGATAGTGATTATAAAATATCATTATTAGTTTTGGGAGTTATAACTCATTTTTTTCCTAATTATCTTTCCACAGTTTATTTTGCACAATTCCTGATCATGAATCCAATCAGTTTTCCTAATATTGATGATAAAAGATCTTGCCTTATCTCTTTCACTGACATCAATATGAAAACAAATCACATGATGTGTATCACTGGAGCAGATGCTGCTGTGTTCATCCAGCCCTGCACCTTGTTGTCTCGGATTCTCCAGCATCTGCAGTTCCTACTATCACATGATGTGTATAATGAGTGATTGATTCAACTGTGTGTTACTACCCAAAGTGAATTTTGTCATCTTATCATGGTTACAGCATGGAAGGAGCTACTTCCATAGCCACATTCCCCTGCCCCTTTCCCAAAAGTCCTGAAAGTTTTCTTCCCATCTAAGTTTGCCCTCTTCCCTTTCAAAATGACAAATAAATCTGGGTTCACAACATTGTCAGATAGCGCATTCCAGATCTAACCACATGCAATGTAAAAATGGTTTTCCTTCATGTCACTTCTGGATCCTTTGCCAATTATCTTAAATGGTGTTATCTGGCTCTTGATCATCTTGCCAATGAAACTGCTGTTGCCTTATCTTCTCTGACTTGACCCCTCCTGGTTTTGTACATCTTGAACAAATCTCGTTTCCACCTTCCCTTCTTTGAGAACAATTCCCACTTCTCCAATATATCTCAACAATTGAAGTTTTTTACTTGGACCAGTCAGCTAGGTCTTTTCTCCATCATCTCTAAAGTCTTCACATCTTTTTCAAAGTATGGGGCCCAGAACTGAACACAATATTCAAATTGAGGCTGAATCTCAAAGATTTGTCTTAACTTCCTTTCTTTTGTACTCTGTCTATTTTATAAATCGCAGGATTCTGCACGCTTTTTCAATTGCTATCTCAGTCTCTCCAATTACGTCCAACAATTTGCGCAAATATATCTAAAGTGTTTTTGTTTTGATCTTGCACACCCTTTAGAATCATACATTTTGTTTTACATTAGCTTTTCCACCATCAAAAAGTATCATTTCACACACCTTTTCAGTAAATGTAATCTGCCACAAATGTATCCAAAATGCAATGCCCACTTGAGATCTTTTAGTATTCTCTTCACAATGCCTCCAACTTTTACCCATCTTCAGTTCTTCCCTCCAAATTCAGTCTATGTCATTAACGTTCATCATGAAAAACATTGATCTTAGTACTTAGTCCTTGGAAGCCCCCTTACATATTATTTTCCCATACTAAAGAAAAATAACCACCAGACTCTGTTTCAGCCAACTTTATAGATATTGCTAATCAACTTGTTCAGACATATTATGACACACTACTGGATCAGGTTGAACACTATCACTGAGCCACAACAACTCTTCCTAAAGCCAACTATGAATTCACATGGCCACTGTCCCTTTTATTCCCTAATTCTGTTGACAAACTTAAGGTCAAATTGATTGGCCTGTAGTAATAACCTTGGTGGTGAGAAAAATTGTTTTTAGAAACAATAACTCAAAATAGATAACAGCCACTTTGAATTTGTGAAGGAAAACCAGCGCCAATTTCTAAAAAGGTAAATCATGTTTAACCAATCGGTTGAGTTTTTGGTGAGGTATCAAAGAAGGCCTATGAGGGTACAGAGATGACAAGGTGTAGAGCTGGATGAACACAGTAGGCCAAGCAGCATCAGAGGAGCAGGAAGGCTGACGTTTCAGGCCTAGACCCTTCTTCAGAAATTTTCTTCTTCTTCTTCATTTTCTTCATTTCTGAAGAAGGGTCTAGGCCCGAAACGTCAGCCTTCCTGCTCCTCTGATGCTGCTTGGCCTGCTGTGTTCATCCAGCTCTACACCTTGTTATCTCAGATTCTCCAGCATCTGCAGTTCCTACTATCTCTGAACCAGGCCTATGAGGGTATTGTGATTGATATAGTATACATGGATTTTCAAAAGGCACTTGATAAAGTGCTGCATAACAGACTTGATAGGAAAATTGAAGCCCTTTGAACAAAACAGACAGTAGCAGCATGCAGGTTAGGGTGGCTGAGTGACAGAAAACAGAGTAACAATAAAGTCATTTATTGGACCGACAGAAGGTATATATTGGAGTTTCACAGAAATTGGCTTTGGACCATTACTTTTTTTGATTTATGTTAATGACCTAGACTTAGGTGCACAGGGTACAATTGCAAGAGTTACCAATCACTCAAAACGTGAAAGTTCTGTAAACTGCAAATAGATGAACTATTGTTAAACAGTAGTTTAGCATCAACTGGAGTGTTGTATCCAATTTTGAGCTTTGCACTTTAGGAAAGATGCAAATGCATTGGAGAATATGCAGGAACCATTTACACAATATTTCCGGAGATGACGAAATTCAATTTTGATGATAGATAGGGGAATTATTTTGATTGTTTCCCTTAGAGAAAAGAAAGTTGAGAGGAGATTTGATGGCGATGTTCAAAATCACACTGAGTCTGGACAGAGTAAGAGACAAGAAGCAACAAACTATTCTGTTGGTAGCAAGGCCAAGAACCTATGGACAATTGAAGTGAAACAAAGTAGAGGAGACATGTGCGGATTTTGTTTAAGTGGTGGGTGGTTCAGATCTGGAAGACACTGTCTGAAAGAGAAGTAAAGAAGATGCAATTGTGTCTTTGGGAGAAGCAGGGGGTAATAATCTGAAGATTTAAAAATTTGCAGGATGTGGGGAAAGGGTGCTATGAGTGACTCTAGCCGAGTTAGTTTCACAGGGAACTAGTACGGATATGATGGGTCGAATCGCCTAATTCTGCGCAAAATACTGGAAATCCAAAATAAAAACAGGAAATGTGCTGTGGAAATACTCAGCAGCTCAAAACGCCCAGGTTGACCAAGCTGAAACGTTGATCCAATCTGCCTCCGCAGATGCCAAGCTGCAGAGTATTTCCAACGACCCTTGCCTTTTTTCGGTTTGTGTTTTGCCATCAACACCATTGGCTTTTCCTGTGGGCTGTGACCACGTCCCCTTAAAAAGAAAAGGGAGAGATGACAAACCTCACCACCCACCCCACCCCACCCTCCCCTCCCCTCCCCCAAGCCTATCACAGGAGTCGTTGTTGTCAAATGTTGACACAACTCCACAGGAACATTGTTGGTGAGCCCAAGGCAAACCGAGTGGGTCAGATTCAGAGCAGGGCGACCTTAGGGGTGTTGCTTGGTGATTCCCCCACCCACACACACACACACACACGCATGCATGCATACACACACATATCCCCACAACCCCAATCCTCTCTCTCCCTTGGGAGGGGAGGGGGGAAGGTGTTGAAATAGTTTCGGTTTGTGATTGAAAGGGAAAGCGGGGGGGGGGGGTGTTTTTGTTTTGTTTTCAGTCTGAGAAGGGTGGGGGTGGGGGTAGCGGCTGTTGCTGCACCATGTTGCTGTGTTGATGTTGGCTTCAGGCTCTGACGGGTTATCAGCTGCAGCCGAGCGGTCGCCGGCTTCAGACGGGGCTGATGATGATGATGATGATGATGAGGAGGAGGAGGAGGAGCGGCGGCCGCGGCTGAGCGCAGCTCCCGGAGCAGGAGGGCTCGCCGACACCATGAAGGATCCCGCCGGGCCCGAGTCGCTGCTGCGGTTCCTGGGCCGCCGGGCCCTGAGCGGGGACCGCTTCCTGAAGGAGGCCTTCCAGCGGCAGCGCCTGTCCGCCTGCAGGAACCTCTTCAAGAAGGACCTGCTCGGGCACTTCGGCTGCGTCAACGCCATCGAGTTCAGCGGCGGCGCCGGGGAGCTGCTGGTGTCCGGTAAGGGAGGCCCCGGGAGGTTTGGGGGGG